GGAAGCTGTTGTTGATGTATTTGTGTTAATTCGTCAAAGAAATACAGCGAGCCGTCGATCAGCGAATTTTTGGGATCGCGCGTTTCTCACCTGCTATAATTTAGGCTGGTTGCTTCCTGCGACGGTACGTCGCCGAATTTTTTTCTCTTCAACTCACGGTAGTGATGCAGCGCCATCTATCGGCGAATAATAACTACCGTTGCCTTTTGGTACGTATTTATATATACGATTTTATACGAATATACGAAACCCTAACCCTAACCCTAACCCCTAACCCTACCCTAACCCTAACCCTAACCCTAACCCTAAGCCTAACCTACCCTAAGCCTAACTCTATTAAATTAATAAAATTTAATTTTAATTGTTGTAAAAATTAATTGTTGTTATTAAAATGTTGTAAATAAATAATGTTAATATTTCTTAATTGGAAAAAAAATGTTAAACAGATAAAAATAGAAAAATACAGAAAACAGGAAATAATTAGAAAACGGATGGGATTCGATCCCGCGACATTCATACTTGGGCAGCGCACTACCCGTTGAGCTGCTGCCACTATATTAAAATTAAAAATTTGGATGTGCTGTGTATATCGCAAGACCAAGAAAACAAGCTCAACCAATCAGGGCGTCAGTACCGTCAGTACGTGACTTTAAGGGGGAAAAATAATCGGCGACGGTACCGCCTTCGCAGGAGCAACAGCCATATATTTATGTGTCAGTGTGCGCGCAATGGCGGCGGCGTGTGTTTACAGTTGCAAACGCTCAAAGTGCTGTGGTTTCGGATGCCGTAAATGTGTTTTCGCATGTACGTGCGGTGCTACACTAAATTGACTATTCAGAGGTGCTACGCAGTAAACTAGGATTGTGCCATGGAATGATATGGATGATGGTGTTATAGGTGGGCTGTTGTTGGCCCATGTGGGATATACGATACCTCAAACAAGCTAGTACATGAAGACATTGCGTAACTAATACTGCGAGGTCAATATTCAAAGTTAAACTCACCTTTCTTACAGTGCGATAACGAATAAAATCATAATACATATCCATATAATGATGTATTGTACATGCAACGAACTCAAAACATCTCCGTTAGCGCCATGCTTGCGTGAGTCGCGCGAAAAATAAATCGTATTCATTATAATGATATTACCATAGCCGCTTGAGATCATGAACCAGTATGATATATTTTTATTTTGTACAATATAAACATTTATTAAAACGTTTAATAACTGAATAACTTTTAGCTGTAATAACGCTCCATTTATAAACAAATAAAAACTAACAACTTATGTGAAGAATAATCGACTAGTTCTTTCACTCTCTCTGCAATATGGCCGCGCCCATCCATAACGAATGGAAAAAGTCGTCTCCTACATTGTAATCTGGAAAAGAGAATAGCCAACAGTAGCAGTAAGTCGTACAGTTTGTAAAAGATACTTCGCGCTTATTACAGGACCATTTGAATTGACCTATTTATTATATTACATCAGGAGTAGATAATAGGGACGGAGTGTGACATCAATAAACAAGGGAAATTCGTCATTACTAGCCTTATAATACTGCACGATTCTACTACGCGTAACTCATCCAACTTGAGCTCAAATCGGACACAGTACATTCGCCAATCATCGTGCGAAATCGTTTCTCGTAGACACCCGCATCCGGAGATACAGCCTAAAACGTACGACACGATTCTCCATTCTTTGGCCATCAATCCAGCCCATTGCGCGCCTATAATTCAAACAAAAGCAGCTACCTAACGCCGCTATTGCCTCACTGAGCGAGGCATGTGGCTCGCTGGGAGATTAGGCAGCAACACTCGGCGAGATAACCTTTGACCCGGTACACAGCCTACACAGGCCACCTTTGTACATAGCTGCATGCCTTCAGCACGCACGCCAAACCGCATGATTAGCTCGTCGAGTGTTGCGTCGATCTCCAATCTCCCGCGAGCCACATCGCTACATTCAGCTATCGAGAGAGCAAACACAGCGACTGCGCGGCGTGTTGCTGGCCTTTTGTCTGAATTATAGGCGCGCAATGGGCTGGATTGATGGCCAAAGATGGAGAATCGTGTCGTACGTTTTAGGCTGTATCTCCGGATGTGCGGTGTCTACGAGGAAACGATTTCGCCGATTGTATGGCGAATGTACTGTGCTCGATTTGAGCTCAAGTTGGATGAGTTACGCCGTAGTAAATCGTAGGTATTATAAGGCTAGTAAATGAACGAATTTCCCTTTTTATCTGTTTTACTAAAGCATAAATAATTTTATACAATTCAGTTATTATCACTGCACACTTTCGTATCTGTTCAAGTTATTATAACTGTAACAGGATCTATAAATGGATTATAATGTGTGTGCATGAGCACATATATACCCGGTAGTTCTATGTTGTTGCATGAAGCGCATTATCTGCCACTGACATTGGTTGTGCGATTAGGTGTTCAGTTATTTGAATTAAAAGTGAGTAACCATGCTACAAGAAGCAAATGTCCCAGCGTCTATAATAATTTATCAGATCATAATATTATAATAACTTCTTTCAATGTTTTGCAATATCATGTCATATCCTAGATATAAGAAGGCGAAGCTCCAGCCCAGTGAGTGTGAGCAACAGATATCACCGGCAGAAATCGAATTCTGGCTCTAGCATTGGTGGAGCATCCTCCTGCTCTAACTATGAAAGCAACCAGATACACCTCTGCAGATTAGGTGAGAATGATGCTATTTTAATGACACAGTCATATTGATGAGAAATACCAGGAAATTTCTTCTAAATACCAGAGGATATTATTTTTATTAAATTTCTCAAGTTATGTTTAGTTGCAGGGGCGTAAACCCCTGATGGAGGGATGCATCCGCCCGCTCTTGAAGGAGGGGGGATGGCCTGTACAAATATCCCACCTTGAGATTCAAAAAAAAGAAGAAAAAGAATAGCCAAAAGGTATGGTTGCAAACATACAAAAACATGTGAAATTGTGAGAAATTGCAATTCTTACCTGTGTTTTAATACATGTATTATTACTATAGTAACCTAACTGTGTACGCTCTCTGAAAAGTCATGACAAGTGTTTTGAATCCTAACTTGTAGGGTTGAGTCTAGGATTGAGATAGTGTCATCAGACATGAGGATATGGCCCACAGTATGCCTCAGATTGCAGGAAAATGGCTTAAATATTTCAAAATTTTCTGGGGGGTTATTTCCCCAGACCCCCCTAGCACTGGTATGCCTACGGTACGCGGGCCTGCCTCCGGCAGCCAAGGTTAATTTCGCCCGCGGCTATCGCCGATCATCCCCCCCACTCCTCAGTACGGATTTACGCCCCTGTTTAATTGCATCGAACTCTCATTTAGTTTTAGTATTATGGCAAGTATCAAGAGTAGATAATAACACAAGAGTAACACACCCGATTCCAGCATTTTTAACTGATTTTTTTCATTAAAATTTGCCACCAATAAAGAAGCAAGTGTATACATTCCTCAGCTTATTATGGCCACTAATCACTCACCTTCGTGGTACTGATATTCGTTTTCATATATTTGCTAGCGTATTGCTGTAAATCGTAATCTCGCACGAGCTTAATTCGCACAATTTACTGCTATTGTGTGAGGTGTTAAAACAAATTTTGAAGCTATAGTGGCGCCAATATTTAGCAAGCTGGACTGTTCCAAATCATGTTGTGCTCCCGATAGGGGTTTAATGTACTTGATTACCTCGCATGCGTAATGGTATACTTACTGCAGACTACTGATCAGAGAATATTGTGTATTATTGTATTATTACTTATGTAAGATAGTGTAACGAGGAATGTGGCCGTTCATGTTAGAATGATGTTGAAGTAAAACCAAACTGTGTGTTGCTAACGCGGCATTATAAGACTTTATAATACTCTCATTACAGCGTGAGACACATCTTTGACACTATCGCACAAAGAGACAAAGGCACGCGCACACGTCGCATACGCCGCATGTGCTCACCTTCCGTGCCAGAACCAGAATCCCCCTCTTACTATTTACATCTCTCCTCTATATTCCCCAAAAACTCCTACAAACACATTCGGTACTCTCACTACGCGACATGTACCATTTCTCCCAGACGTGCGTCCTACCTTGCCCCTTTCATCCTAGATAACTGCCTAACTAAAAACCTCGCTTTATCCAACTGGCGCCTGTAACGATCAATGCAGCCGCCCAATTATGTCGGACCGTCTGGCGTCTACGCCAGACTCTAACTGGTACACAACAACCCTAGTCTATAGCCTCCGCTGATTCTACTTCATGCGAAACACGTGCAAAAGCATGTTACATATAGTTATGTCAATTTCTTGTGTTCGTGATCACAATAACTTGAGCTGCGTCTCGCGGTTCCTCACGAGAGTCAAAAATTCGAAATTTAGATTGTCTTCTCACACCTCTATCGGGCACGAATGATTTGGAAACAGTCGGTTGCTAATATTGGCGCACTATAGGCTTTCAAATTTGTCTTATCAGCCTTCACATTATAGCGTAAAGTTGTGCGAATAAGCTCGGGCCAAGATACAATTTACAGCAATACGCTATGCATAATATATGTAAACCGAATATCAGTACCACAAAGGTGATGATTAGGTGGTCATAATAAGCTGAGGGGACGTATACACTTGACTCCTTTATTGGTGTGCAAATTTTGATAAGAAAAAATCGATTGAAAATGCAGGAATCGGGTCGTCTCACTCTTGTGTTATTATACTCTTGCAGAGTATCTTAAAAGATTAATGTCGTTTTGTGTGTATTGCACCATATTATCTGGCCTGTATTACAGTAATATCTTTTGTTGCATCAACAGATGTAGTGTGTTAAAAACTACCTTGCATGCATGAGATGGATTGCGGCATGGTGGCCAAGATTTTGAAATGCATGTTAATGGATTAACTGTACTTGCACTTACTCACCAAGAAACTATTTTGATCTCGCTGTGTATAAAACATAATGCCATTACTATATTATGCGACAGGGATGTGGAGGTTGTCTGAGCACGGCTATCTACTAATTGGGGAAGATCGCTGTCTGTCAGGGATAACCCCCAGCTCGGAACTGGAACATATTGCCCTGCCAGGATGTATTATAGGTGGATCTATGGTCGTGTAATTAATGAATTTGTGGTGTATAGGATAAATGTATGACCCAACAAGTCACACAAAATAACTAATGAATGTTATCTCAATAATGTAATAATACCAGCAGCTCGATTATTTCATTTTTCAGACTGTGTTGTTGTTAATACTGGGAATTTCCGCCTTTCAGGCTGTTGTGTGAAGAGCGAGTTTAACGCATCAGCTGATACGGGTTCATTGAGAGGCCCTAGAACTGGCAGGATGAGTGTGAGTATGATGGTTCCAATGATCACCGGAACTGTTCTTCCTCGGGGTCCATATCTCGGAAGGGAATTGGCTATGAATGAGGCAAGTACGCGTGCTGCACGTGCCTAACTAGCAACATAATGTGAATTAGTGTTAATACACACTGCTTAAAACCGACGTTGGCCAGCTTCCTGTGAGAAAGGGCCAAGGAAATTTGTTTCTCATTCAATTCCTAGTGGGAACGGCACGGGAAACGCTGCTATTATAAATCACTCCTTTCATCTTCCCAGATGTTCATATGGCTTGATGGAAATTTTTTCAGGGTCATGCTGATAGGCAGAGAGAGAACAAGGTGATCGGGGAGTCTGGGAAGAGACCTCACATCTACTTTGAGGATTTCGTTCAGCCAACCGAAGTACGGTTATTCCCACATTTTATGCTATTAAGTTATTCTCTCGAACAATACTCGTTAGCAGTGCCTCTCATTTCCATGCCATTCCAATTCGAATTCATGTTATGTTGGGCTACCCACCCTCAGTGGTAATGTTCTTTTTGCTTCATACTGTTCCATCTTGAAACACTTGAAAATTGTGGCCTATAATTGCTGTTAGCTAAGTATCGCGTATTTCTGGCGATCCAGCGAGATTGCAAACATTGAGAGCTCCTTGCTGATCTCCCGAAACCTTGGCGCCTGTATTCAGTCTGGAATTAAACAAGTGCTAGTAAGTGGATAACGTGCCATGTAGAACACTTGGTTAGAGCTGGCAATTCTTGTTTTGCATTGTTGCAATGCTGCTATTTTCCAAAGGGAAAACAGTTCTTGTTTCCGACTTTTGAAACATTATTTGCTTCTTGCACAATTAATGACAGTCATATTACAGCAAAGATTGATAACATGAGTGCATAACTTTATTAGTGTGAATAAAATGTAGACTTTGCTATGGACTGCCCGATATCTTGGGGAGAGATGGACCAAGTATCGGGCATTGACAATCTGTAACGAACATAATTAGAAAGTCAAAGAGCTGTTCTTTGCGCACACCTCCTCAACTTGTGTGGGCTCGTGCATTAAATTCTCAGTGCTGCTTACAGTTGTGGCTTGTATTATCGATACCCTAATATTTATATATGCCAGTCCTCATTCCTGCGTAATTCAACGACACGTTTATGAAGGGACAAATGTTCTTTATAGAACACGAGATGTGTGAGGTTCTCGTCGTCGGACTGCAGATTTCTCGCGAAGCTTGTTTTGCGTGCGGAAGGCGGGTTTGCCTATATTCTCACCGGACGCAAAATGCGCTGTTGCGTTTGCTGACACCTGGACGCTAGAATCATCACCATCTACTTGCCAAGGCGACTAAGGTAACAGCCCACCGCCTGACAGCATAAAAAGCATGTTCATATTGTGTTGAGTTTATATGTATTATTATTGTTTTATATTGATTATATATATATATATATTATATATATGTATACTATATATATGTGCGGCGTGGCGGCGTCGCATGCGGTGTGTGTATATTATATAGTTTATACAATTAGTATTGATTTAATGAATTATTGTGTTATTATATTAAATGTTTTATTTATATTACATTTGTGATCAAGTGAAGTGAGATGGATTAAAGTGATGACTCCTTTAACCAGTATTCCTGTAAACAAGTGTGAATCATTTTTAATGTGAATTGAACTTGCACAATATGAAGTAAATTAATCTATTGTATATAAGTGATGTTATAGGTTGGTTTTGTGTTAATACACGCTACATGTAGGAAAAATACCCGTCATGCCATGGATTCTGTATACTAATGTGTTTACCAGAATTTTGAGTTTGAAGACGATTTTAAATTTTGTACTTTACTGACAGGATCCGAAGGACTTCATTGTGTTGCTTTATAATGAAATGCTGTTGTACGTAAAGGATGGAGAGAACTGGGATGACATCATGGAGGAGCTAGAGGGAAGAGGGGTATGATTAATATTCACACGTTCAATTATTTGCTTAAATTAACAACAAAATTATGAATTAAATGTACAGACACGTTGAGCAGGAAAATGATTTGAAGCGTGATATACTCAAAATATTCACTGCGTTTCGTTTGACGATAATGCGCTCATTTGTGCCGCTTTTGTGTATTTGTAGGTGCAAGAGATGTCGTTTGTAGATATTGCGCTAGACTTCATATTGTTAGATGCTTTTGAAGATCTGGAGAACCCACCTTCATCCGTGCTTGCTGTCATGCAGAATCGCTGGCTCTCCAACGGTTTTAAGGAGACGGTAGGGATGACTCCACCACGTCTCTCTCTGCTGTGTCGTCGGTTCTCCTCGTCTCTCTCTCCTGCTCTCTGTCTCTGTCTCTGTCTCTGTCTCTGTGCTCTGTCTCTGTCTCTGTCTCTGTCTTCTAGTCTCTGTCCTCTGTCTCTGTCTCTGGTCTCTGTCTCTGTCTCTGTTCTCTCTCTCTCTCTCTCTCTTCTCTCTCTCTCCTCTCTCGTCCTTCTCTCTCTCTCTCTCTCTCGTCTCTCTTCTCGCCACTCCTCCTCTCTCTCTCTCTCTCTCTCTCTCTGTGTCTGAATATATATATACACACACATATATATATATATAGTAATACGAGCTGCCTCGGTGCTTCGCGCCTTAGCAGCTGTAGGCGAGGCGCTATGAGGCCTCGCAATATCCGGTGAGAAAATGTCCTGCGTGTAGAGCCGTGAGACAGGACTACTTGAAACGCATTGAAACTGTCATAAAATGTGCCAATTTGCGTGTATTTGTGTGCATATTTTTGGTGCATAGACTGTATTTACCTCTGCCATCAATAGTAATAAGAAAATTAAACCCGCGGAGGCGCTTTTGCGGTAAGGGCGATGGAATGCTATCAAAATTCAGCTTCTTCATAAAAGTACCCAAAAATGAAAGTGTCACACGACACTATAGCTCAACCTTGGTCCCAGATAGCAGGCTTACGTTGGCCAAACGTGCGCATTTTTTGGTTGGCACGGTCACGGTTGCAATATGACGTTGGGCCCAACGTTGGCACAAGTCATGGTTGCAATAATGACGTTTGGCCAACGTTGTCCCAAAACCGGTGACCATGATGGTCACGGTTGGCAAGTGGTTGGCTGCATGGCGTTGGGCCAACGTTGGCATATGGTCGGCATGGTCACGGTTGGCAAATGGTTGGCTGCATGACGTTGGGCCAACGTTGGTGTATGGTTGGCATGTGGTCAGCATGTGGTTGGCTGCATGACGTTGGGCCAACGTTGGCGTATGGTTGGCATGGTCACGGTTGGCAAATGGTTGGCTGCATGACGTTGGGCCAACGTTGACGTATGGTCGGCATGGTCACGGTTGGCAAGTGGTTGGCTGCATGACGTTGGGCCAACGTTGGTATATGGTTTGCATGGTCAGGGTCGGCAAGTGGTTGGCTACATGATGTTTGGCCAACGTTGGCGTATGGTTGGCATTGTCACTGTTAGCAAGTGGTTGGCTATTGCCATGGGGCGTTGTCCGTCATACGTCCGTCTGTCCGTCAACATTTGGCTACGGTCAACGATAACTTGAGAACCGTTTGACGCACATGTTTCAAATTGCATACAGTTGTTACTCCTATGGGAGAGATGTGAACGTTCTATTTTGGAGCATGCCAGTTGACCTACTTTCGAGCCACGCCAACTTTTTGGTAAAAATGGAAATGGCCATAAGTCAGTTCAGGTTCAACGGATTTTGCTCATTTTTGGTATGTGAATGAATAAGGACTGGCCCCAAAACATATCACAGGGGTTTTGATATTTTTTTAAATTATGCAAATTAGGTAGATTTTGGCAATTTCACTATGCATTTCAGTGTCAGCCTAGTCAACGATAACTCAAGAACCGTTTGACCCACATGTTTCAAATTGCATACAGTTGTTATTCCTATGGGAGAGATTTGAACATCTTATTTTGGAACACGCCAGTCGACCTACTTTCGAGCCACGCCCACTTTTTCCCAAAAATGGAAATGGCCATAAGTCAGTTCAGGTTCAGCGGATTTTGCTCATTTTTGGCATGTGAATGAATAAGGACTGACCCCAAAACATATCACAGGGGTTTTGATATTTTTTTATTATTATGCAAATTAGGTAGATTTTGGCAATTTCACTATGCATTACAGTGTCTGCCTACGGTCAACGATAACTCAAGAACCGTTTGACCCACATGTTTCAAATTGCATACAGTTGTTACTCCTATGGGAAAGATTTGAACGTCCTATTTTGGAGCACGCCAGTCGACCTACTTTTGAGCCACGCCCACTTTTTGGCAAAAATGAAAATGGCCATCTAGATTCATTCGATTTTGTTGTTTCAGTTCTCCCATATATACTCTTGTTTTATATAATGTAGGTGGATAGTTGCTGAATTAAAAATGACTTGTTGGCACTCGCTCATTTGTGTACTTTTTTTGTGGTGAGCTATAGTGTCATTGACACTTTCTTTCTCTTCCTAGCAGTATCATTCCTCTTTTGTGTTCTCTATTTCTGCTTGCCCTCCATACAGATATAGAGTGCATATTTAGGGGCACTTACTTCTTGTGTCCATCCATCTATCATAACTGATCTAGCTATATTTCTCCATCGTCACGTGTACTTGTAAGTCATCTTGTACATCGCTATAAAGTGCTATTCCTGTAAACATCCTAATCTGTATGTTTTTAAATTTTCCAAAAGCATTCTTGTTTATCTTACCAGGCTCTCTTGACAGCTGTGTGGTCAGTACTGAAAGCTAAGAGACGACGGCTCAAGGTAAAATAAAAATTATTTCTAATATGGTAATAATTTTAATAAATTGGTTTGGATTTCAAATTGTATTCAGTAACCCTAAGCAGCGTACAAGGTTTGGGGTGCCTACCAAAATCAAATTTGGTTTCGGAGTTGCGTGACTTTACCTAACTTACTAGGTGTTTTAGGAAAGTGACTAAGTAGTAGTGTAAAGTGGCTGTTTTACTTTGTTTTAAGCAACCAAATGGGTTCATAGCTCATTTTTATCACATCTCTGAACACGTGAGTCCTGTGCTGGCATGGGGTTTCCTAGGACCGAGGAGCCGACTTAAAGAACTTTGTGAACTGTTCAAGGTACGTTTTTTCTTCATTGGATGTCTCCGTATGGCCCACCGTTGTTGAAAATGAGTGAAAAAATTATTTACCATCACTTCATTTACATTTGAGATATTATGTACAGTTTATCTGAATTTACTGAATTTAGGTATAATGCTGTGTTGAGAATGTGAAGGATGATGAATTCATGATTTGCAAAATGCCATCTTAGCCCCATTTACTATATTCTGCTACAGGATCAGGTTCTGGGCTTTATGCAGGACATGTTCAGCCTGCGGAAATGCCAATACACAACAGTAGAGCAGCTTGCAGACGACATCATCGTCCTTGCTAGGCACCACTGTGAACATGTACTAGAGAAACTGGCAGTGTCGCCACTGACAGACACCAGTCGTGAGAATAGCAAGTTTCCACACTGAAGTGTAGGAGTCTACCCTCACAGTCACAGACCAATAAATAACCCTGTGAATAAAAACCTAAAAGATATTACTATAATAAATAGAGCTTGTGATTGTACTACTGGTTATAGGCTGGTACTGTCTGGTGCATCTCACAGTTTTGCAACTATTTCAACACAAAAGCTATGTTGTTGGAAGGATACTGATCATGAGATGGTTGTGTATGTGTGAATCGTTTATTATAAGATGTCTTAGCCTGAGAATGATGACGCTGTAAAGGCAAGATAATATATAATCACCAGTTCTATTACTGTTTGTTTCGATGGGCTATCAGAATTAGTTATAGGAGTTCTTGTAGAATTTTCTTTTAATAGTTGTTCACATTTATTTTGTAACCGCAGCGATGGCTCAATGGTGGAGTGCTCGCCTCGCATGCGGAAGGTCGTGGGTCAGGGTCGGGGTCGTGGCTCCCAGCCGGGTCATACCAAAGACTTGAAAAATGGTACACACTGCTTTTCTGCTTAGCACTCGGCAAAAAGAGATAGAGTGTGGAAAAACTTCCCGTCACAGGTTGATGTTAGTAAGGGCATACAGTCGTAAAAAAATCTGCTTCAATAAAATTGTGCAATGGAAGAGCTGCCAAAAACTGGACCGAGCCAGATTTCTGGAGTGGGTTCTACTGATGTGGATTTAAACCCTTGAGTCCAGTATAAAATAAAGTAACCGAAAAAATTTTTAGTACAGGGTAAGTAGAACCTGCTCTAAAGTTAGCATCACGTCTGGTATGATTAGAAATAATCTAGTATTAGCATTTACATTACATATAGTATTAGCATTTACATTTACTTAAACATGTATAGGATGAACATTCACAAGCTTAACTGCATGTCATCTGTCAGCTATGTTTTATCTAAGATGTGAGAATATGTGGGGAGCCGTTTAAACTACATGTGTACGTTTCAAATCAACCTTTAAGATTTCCCGTTTGTAAAATATCTGTGTTCCAATCTCGTGAATCCTGCCGTAGAAATTCATAGTATTGTGTCGTGATTATGCACATGCCACGTGAAGTGTAGGCATAACGCTTGTAACGCGAGCGCCAATATTTAGCAACGGACTGTTTCCAAATCATTTGTGCCCCGATAGGGGTTTAATGTACTTGATTACCTGCGCATGCGTAATGTGATACTTACTGCAAACTACTACAGAGAATATTGTTATTATTGTATTATTACTTATGTAAGATAGTGTAACGAGGAATGAGCGTTCATGTAGAATGATGAAGTAAAACCAAACTTGTGTTGTAACCGGCATAAACTTTAATATCTCATACAGCGTAGACACATCTTGACAATCGCACAAAGAGACAAAGGCACGCGCACACGCGCATACGCGCATGTGCTGACCTCCGTGCCCAGAACCAGAATCCCCCCTCTACTATTACATCTCTCCCTCTATATTCCCCCAAAACTCCTACAAACCACATGCACCACGCACATGTACCCATTCTCCCAGACTGCGTCCTACCCCCATTTCACAATGACCCTAGAAACTGCCTAACCTAAAACCCGCTTATCCAACTCCCTGTAACATCAATGCAGCCGCCCAATATGTGCGACGCTGCGTCTACGCAGACTAACTGGTCACCAAACAACCCTAGTCTATAGCCTCGCTGACTACTTCATGGAACACGTGCAAAAGACATGTTACAATAGTATGTCAATTTCTTGTGTTGTGATCACAATAACTGAGCGCGTCTCGCGGTTCCTCACGAGATCAAAATTCGAAATTTAGATTGTCTCTCAACCCTATCGGGGCACGAATGATTTGGAAACAGTCCGTTGCTAAATATTGGCGCCACTATAGCTTCAAAATTTGTCTTAACACCTCACATAATAGCGGTAAATTGTGCGAATTAAGCTCGTGCAAGATTACAATTTACAGCAATACGCTAGCAAATATATGTAAACGAATATCAGTACCACAAAGGTGAGTGATTAGTGGTCATAATAAGCTGAGGGACGTATACACATGCTTCTTTATTGGTGGCAAATTTTGATAAGAAAAATCGATTTAAAATGCAGGAATCGGGTGTCTCACTCTTGTGTTATTATCTACTCTTGCAAGTATCTAAAAGATAATGTCTTTTGTGTGTATGGCAACCATATATCTGCCTTATTAAGTAAGTATCTTTGTTGCATCACAGATGTAGTGTGTTAAAACTAGCCATTTGCATGCATGAGATGGGATTGCGGGATGGGTGGCAAGATTTGAAATGCATGTTATGGATTAACTGTACTTGCATTACTCACCAAGAAACTATTTTATCTCTGCTGTGTATAAAACATAATGCACATTACTATATTATGGTACAGGGATGGAAGGCTTGGAGCACGCTATCACTAATTGGGAAGATGCGCTGTCTGTAGGGATACCCCAGCTCGGAACTGGAACATTTGCCCTGCCAGTATGTATAGGTGGATCTAGGTGGTAAATTAATGAATTTGTGGTTATAGGATAAATGTATGACCAACAAGTCACACAAAATAAAACATGAATGTTATCCAATAATGTAATAATACACAGCTCATATTTGCATTTTTCAACTGTGTGTTGTATACTGGGAATTTCCCCTTTCAGGCTGTTGGTGAAAGCGAGTTTACGCATCAGCTGGAACGGTTCATTGAGAAGGCCCTAGAACTGCAGGATGAGTGTGAGATGATGTTCAATGATCACCGAACTGTTCTTCCATCGGGGGATGATCTCGGAACGATTCATGAGATGAGCAAGTACGCGCTGCTGCACGTTGCTAACTAGAACATAATGTGAAATTAAGTGTTAATACACACTGCTTAAAACCACGGTTGGCACTTCCCTCTGAGGAAAGGGCAAGGAAATTTTGTTTTCTTAATTCTGAGTGGGACGCCACGGAAACGCTGCATTATAAATCACTCCTTTCATCTTCCCAGATGTTCATATGGCTATGGAAATGTTTTTCAGGGTCATGCTGATAGGAGAGAGAGAAGTGATCGGGGAGTCTGGGGAAGAGACCTCAACATCTGACTTTGAGGATTTCGTTTCAGCAACCGAAGTACGGTATTCCCACATTTTATGCTATAAGGTTATATCTCGAACGCATACTCGTTACAGTGCCTCTCATTTCCATGCATTCCAATTTCGAATTCATGTATGGTGTGGGCTACCCACCCTCACGTGGTAATGTTCTTTTTGTTCATACTGTTCCCATCTTTGAAACACTTGAAAATGTGGCTATATTGCTGTTAGCTAATACTCGCGTATTCTGGCATGCAGGAGATTGCAAACATTGAGGAGCTCCTTGCTGATCTCCCCGAAACCTGGCGCCTGTATCAGTCTGGACTTAAACAAGTGCAGTATGGATACGTGCCATGTAGAACACTTAGGTAGAGCTGGCATTCTTGTTTGCTTGTTGCAATGTGCTATTTCCATAAGGGAAACAGTTCTTGTTTCGATTTTGAAAAGATTCATTTGTTTTGCACAATTATGACAGTCATATTCACAAAGATTGATAACATGAGTGCATAATCTTTATTAGTGTGAATAAAAATGTAGACTTTGCTATGACTGCCCGATGATCTTGGGGAGATGGACCAAGTATGGTGCATGAAAACTGTACGAACACTAATAGAAGTCAATAAGAGCTGTTCTTTGCGCACACCTCCTCAACTTGTGTGGCTCTGCATTAAATTCTCAGCGCTGCATTACAGTTGTGGCTTGTATTGTGATACCCTATATTTTATATAGCCAGTCCTCTTCCTCGTAATTACAAGCGTTTATGAAGGACAAATGTTTCTTTTATAGAACAGAGATGTTGAGGTGCTCGTCGGATGCAGATTTTCTCGCGAAGCTTGTTTGCGTGCGGAAGGCGTTTGCCTATATTCTCACCGACGCAAGAATGCGCTGTTGGTTTGCTGACACCGGACGCGAGATCATCACCAATCTACTTGCACACGGCGATAAGGTAACAGCCCACCCCTGACAGCATAAAAGCATGTTCATATTGGTTGAGTTAGATGTATTATTGATTGTTTTATATGATTTATATATATATATATATATATATGCGTGCGTGCGTGCATGCGTGTGTGTATATATATAGTTTATACAATTAGTATTGATTTGCTGACACCGGACGCGAGATCATCA